TTTGTTCTTCGTCGTGTCATCCATTTTCTTCGCTTTGAAATGATCCATAGCTGTCTGTCTGAGACGAGGGGGCGGAGTACTCACATCAGCTGTGTGCTTGGCCATTCAGTGGTATTTCAGACTCGACGTGCTATGATGATAGCTCAGTTTACGACTGCAAAACATACAGGTAACTTTGGTCTTGTCAGTGGAGCAATCTGGCAACTTTTTAAAAGTAAACTTTCCATTCATAAACTCTAAGTATCCGTTTTCGGTGTCTCGTGCTGCCGTGGCTGGCAAAACAAACGTGCGTGGACCGATGCAGCGCGCTTGTTGTTTTGTTTCTGGTTTATTTATAGAGCAACATAACATCCACTGTGACGTGTGCCGCGTTAATCTCGCGAGAAAAAAATTTAATCCCGTTAAAAGTCATTTAAATTAATGCCAATAAAAATGCGCTACACTGACAGCTCTAATATATATATATACTGTATATCTGTACACACACACACACACACCTGGCCGATCACGCATGGATTAGTTTACACAAAACGCTATTCAAATACTCGACATTCAATGAGTAATCTTCCTTTTGTGTGCACACGTACACCCTTAATGGCTTCTGTTCTCGCCGAAATTTCAAAATCTCCGAGATATGGCGAGGGCATGAGAATGCGAGGCGAGGGTATTACTGTTGTGGCGACGCCACTCGAGCGAAGCGCGCCTCAGCAGTAGATAGTCCGCTGCTCTCTGCTGTGCGTGCATCAGCGCGAACATGTACGCAAGCGCGTCTTTTGATTTCAACCAATCAGCGCCGACGCAACCAATGTCACACACGACATACGACAACAGCTAAGCTAAGCTACCCGTGACGACTCTCGAAGTCGGACGGACACGTTTTTCTGCCAACTGTGTTTCCCTTTTTGTCCAAATATATTTTTTACGACAACAACTGTCTTGTCCACGGCGTCTTTTATTCGTTCCACTGGGGTTTAGCAAGTGTGTTTATAAAAAGACAAAAATCTCTTTACTGTTACTAGTGTTAGTGCCTGAACATGGCTACGCCGTGAAAGCAAAACAACGAACTCAAACGCGTGTTCGTTCAATGTTGTCAACTAATGTCCGGATTAATTTTAGGCAATTTTTCCTGAACTCTCCGGAGAAATTTTCATTAAAATTTGAAAATCCGGAATTCCAGGAAAATCCGGAGGACTTTCATCACTGGATGATTATATCCGAAAACTAATAAAAACCCAAATTCACTATCTAAATTTTAATACTACTTAAGATTATATGAAGAAAGGAGTTTTATAAATGTTGGACAACCGAAAAGTATAAACATGAGAAGTATGCACATGTACAGCATTCAATACGTAGTTGGGGCTCCTTTTGCCTCAAGTACAGCAGCAATGTGATGTGGCATGGAGTGTGTGGCCCAGGTTGCTCCGATAGTTGTCTTCAGCTATTCTGCCTTGCTGGATCTTGATTATCGCATCTCCTTCTTCACAATACCAAAAGATTTTCGATGAGGTTAAGGTTAGGGGAGTTTGCTGGCCAGTCAAGAACAGGAATACCATGGTCCTTACACCAGGTACTGATAGCTTTGGCACTGTGTGCAGGTGCCAAGTCCTGTTGGAAAATCAAATTTGCATCTCCATAAAACTGGTCAGCAGCAGGAGGAAGCATGAAGTCAGTGATAATTTCACAGTTTACCCCCAGCGAGTCCCAGGGACTCGCTGATCAGAAAAGTATGAGTCCCATTATGCATTTAGTGAGTCCCAAATTTCGAATTCTGAAATGGTCTACTTATTCAATTGCATATGATAATAACACAAACAACAACATATACATGCAATTATAAACAAATGCTGCAAAAATTTTAATAATTCAGTAGCAGGCCTGAGGATTTCGGAAATTCATGGTAACCGTTTTTCGGTTCCGTCGGATTACCCAATGGGAAACCACGATAACTAATGTTTTGGGTTCCGTAAACGTTCATCATGGGAACCCATTTTTCTATTTTGACTGATATTCATAATCAAGAATTCTGAAATTCAAAAGTATAATGTTTCAAGGGTAAATGTTTGAAAACTATGCATTAAAAATGAGCATTACATCAGCAGCTGTGTACTCCAGGTTTATTCAACAAAATAAATGGATGGAAATATGTTGTACTCATATGGCATCATGAATACAGCATATCACAAAATCTGACTATTTTTTCCAATCTCACACTTCAAAGATTAATTTACTGGTAATCATTAATACAGGTAAATATTGATGTGGCTTGACATCCTCTATCCAAGACGATGTGTGTGTAATCTACTATCAATTTGACGAGAATCTAACACACGTCATCATTAGTTCTACCAACAGTTAACATTAGCATTACTACACCTTGTGACGAATGCATTATTCCTAAAGTTACCATGCTACAACTAGCCTATAGATCGAATGACCAACTTGCCTCGTAATCGTGCCTCGCGTCGTATCTCGCTCTCGTGTTCTGTGCATACATCACAGGTGAGTTTAGTGATACGCTCTTCGGACGATTCATACGAAAAATCAGACTGGCATTCCCATTTCTTAAATGTCGTAATTAGTAGACCTTTGTGAGGTTTTTTCGCCGCCATCTCAAACTTTCATCCGCGCGATTCCTCAGTTTGCGCACTAAAATAGCAACCCGCATGCGCACAAAACGTTATCTGTTCCCCCCCCCCCCCCAACACTGAAAACAAAACAAAACGAAAGTAAATTAGAAGAAACACACTCACACACCACAAACACACATACAGGCACAGTGAAATCGCGCTGATCACACAGGAGAGATTTGATCGCGTACAGTCAACTCGGGTGCGGTGACTTTTATGGGAGACAATTTTTCGGTACCGTCAAAATGACGCCACGGAAACGACGCGCTACCGGTTACGATCGTTACCGTGAAATCCTCAGGCCTGCCGTAGTTTTTTTGTTTTGACTGAGAAATTTCCTTGTGTCCCAAAAACGCACATTTATTTGGAACTGTGCGTCCCACGGGAAAATTATGCGTCCAGGACGCGGGACGCAGAGGTAACGAGATGGCTGGAAGTGCTGTAAAATTTCCCCAATAGACGGCTGAGTTGAGCTTGGACTTCAGGAAATACAAAGGACCAATGTCAGCAGATGACATGGGACGCCATGTCTCGCATATGATTTTCATAATCTAGTTTTCAGAGATGGTGAATTTGTGTGTTTTTTTAAATTAATTAAAAAGAATGAGCTTCCCTGCTAAAGCTGCCGCCCCCACGACCTGATCTCGGATAAGCGGTAGAAAATAGTATGGTATGATGCAATTCATTTCTTGTCGTCATTTTATGGGAATTTCTTTTGTGAGACAAATAAAGGTTTTCTTATTCTTATATACAGATGACTGAACTTGTCAGTACTATAAGTGTGGCACTCTCTTCAAAGACACTTCGCTCCAATAAAATCATTCACATCTCGATATATTTTAAAGTGGAACGATTTGAATTGGTTTCATTTGATGTACTCATGTTTTTAAATCAAAACTGATTTGCTACAAGCTATTTACAGAGATGTGCTTAAGTTGTGCTGATGCCAGCACTGTTTTTTTTAATTTTTTTTACATCTAGCACAAGGAAAGGGTTTTAATTTTCTGCACAAATATCAACACCAGCTTTACGACAATACACTGTTGTTGTGATTCAGGGCTTGTCCCATCACAGTAATTGTAGCATAGCTTCTCTTTTCTCTTATTATCTGGTCTTGCATACATGACATAAATGTAATGCAAAGCATCCTAAAAGCCTAAGACAGCAGTACACTTCCGAGAATATAGGACAGGATCGCACTAATTCTGGTGACTCAGGATGAACAAAGCAAGAGTGTAAAACTAGACTGAAGAACAGTGGTAGTGGAGTCAGTCAACTTTGCGTTGCAAATTTTTTTTGTTGACATTTTGTGTCATCATTACACTGTAATGAGTCAAAAAGGTTTCAAAACAGAAAATCATACTGAGGGCACTAAAGCGTCTCATGTGGTCAAAACAGTGAAGTGGCCAGGCATTTACTGTTCGATCATTTATGAAATCAACAAGATGATTGCTGTATGAACATCAACAGTTGCTTGGCAACAGTGATTTTCAACTTCTGCACAGTCCAGCCCTCCTTTTAGCCCCAAATGTCCACAGTGTGAGTGCAATAATCAATTTAACCTTACTAACACTTGAAGAGAGCAGCTCAAGACAAGATGAATACCCTGAATATTTTCATTCCTATCACTTTAACATATGAGTAAAAGTGGAAACAGATATTGAATAACAGTGTAAAAATGATTTTGCAAAAGTTCAACGTCAACACAATTGTAAGAAGCATTGCTGTGTGTTCCTTGAAAAAGCATCACGGGAGAATGAAAAGACATTGTAACCATGGCTACCTGAGTAAAGATCTATGCAGGCAGATCACAGGGATGTAGAGTTGCCGTGGTAACATTGACTGACTTGCAAAGAGAATTTTAAGACAGGTAACAAATATCGGAGAGATATTTCAGAAGAAACAAAATTGCAGCACACATAAAAGTTGGTGACACTTACTACAGTTATATGTTACCTGAAACAAAATTTCTGATTTGTAAATTATTTCAAATGAGAAGCTAACAGAGCTGCAAGTGATCATAGTGGAAAATGAAGGGGATTCTATTCATAAATAGTTTCATGTCAACAGTGCATGAAATTATTATTGATATAAGGTACAGCAGGTCCACATAGTGCGGAGAAGTCTATATTTAATGCATTTTGAATATTAATGGAGTTGTGAAAGCATAGGAGGGGAAAAAAAAGAGGTACTCTTCTTATTTAGCAAGATCCCACAGGTTAGACATTTCAGAGACGAAGCCGGAACTTGTGGCTTCATCCTTGTTGCTCAGTACAATAAGGGTAGCTTAACAATATATCTACACACACACACACACACACACACACACACACACACACACACACACACACACACACACACACACAAAGAGTTAAGGATATTTGGCTTTCAGGTGATTTTTGTGGAAAATGTCAAAAGTTCACGCGACAATGTGTTTTCATGTAGGTGCACAAACACTGGATTAATAATGTTTTTCAGGTAGTATGGTCTTGTCACTGTACCATTCACACAGTGTAGGGCAGATTTTGTACCGACTGGACACACCTACCTACCTACCCACACTGTAAAATCGCCACCACCAAAAGCTTGTCTGGTGACAACAATGGCTGATGCATAGCGCTCCCCTTGACGTCTCCAACATCGTTGGCAGCCATCAGTTCTGCTCAATGTGAATGGACTTTGATCAGAGAACAGCACCGAGGCCTCCTGACTGGTCCCTTGCCCAGCATAAATGTTCCCTGGCTCATGCAAGACGATGATGCCTATGCCCGGTGGTGTGGTCAGGTACCCTTACAGGTCGTCTAACACGCAGACCACACTGATGTAAACGGTTTTGAATGGTCTGACGTGACACTTGGGTGCCTCTCACCTCCCTTAAACGCGCCTGGAGTTGTGTGGCATTCATCCGGTTTCTCAGCATGGGATGCGGCCAAAGAACATCCACTTCTACATCTTTCTGTGACTCTTCCACTCTTTTGGATCGCTGTTGCAAACTGCTGATGACACTCTGTGACACTGTAAGCTCAGTGTTCACTTCCTTCAATGTCCTGTTTGAAGCATCACAATGGCAAGCTACTGTTGATCCATTGTTGGGTATTGTCTTGGTCTCATGATGTCAAAATGTGAACAGCATGAGGACAACTGTTTAAACACCAGCTCAAATTGAACCAGGACATTTGCTGTACTGAAACATTTAACACACAATCACATTAAATTCGCCTGTAAAGGTTTGAATGCATTTCAGGCCCGTCCTGAAATTTCACCTGAAAGCCAAGTAGACTTTTTGTGAGTAGTGCACGCACGCACGCACTTTTCTCTGAGTACTCCAGTTTCCTTCCATATTCCAAAAACATGCACGTTTGGTTATTTTGAACACTCTCAATTGTCCCTAGGTCTGATTGTGAGCGCGAATGATTGTTTGTCTATGTGTGATAGGCGCTCGCATGCCCGCGACCCTCGTGAGGATAAGCAGCTTAGAAAATGGGTGGCTATATATACTTATACTTTCTCTCTCTCTCTCTCTCTCTCTCTCTCTCTCTCTCTCTCTCTCTCTCTCTCTCTCTCTCTCTCACACAGCAACAAATCAATTCTCATCGCTAACTCCAAAAGAGCCATTGAAAAGAACGACTTGTTGCGAACGTCACGAAACAAATACAGTAAAAGATCTCACATGGCGGTTGACATCTAAATTACAGTGCTAAGTAAATCAAGACGACGGCTGACTGATTGACTGATGAGCCCATGCTAGTATCCATGGCTCTGGGTTGAATTGTCTGGGGGCATAATACTCCCGAAAAACTGCAAGAACTGCGGATTTCCTGAAACCAGAGAAATATTCCATCTCAGAGCACACAGCCAAAAATGATGGTTCGCCCAATACATCTCTCTGTCACTCAACAGAGGAGACAGAGAGAGTTCACACAATCGCCTCTAATGCACGAACCCTTGCCCCAATTAGTTCATTAAATCGAGGTTCCAATGTATTTTAAATTAAGTCCCACTCCAACATTTTACTTCCTTTAAGTTGATGATTGTGTTTATTGCATTCGCAAGGTGTGTGCTTAATGACGATTCGATCATCAATATTATTTTTCAAACTATTAAATTCTCATCACAAATATTGTCGAAATAGAAACTTTGTTACCTCTTGGATGGTCAGCATAGTCAGGTCTTTGGATTTCACTGGGTACAAGCCGCAAAGGTGTCTAAAAGGAACAGGGGGTAAGGAGAACACATGTTGGGCCCTCCCAAAAAAGATTCAAATATTTTCTATTCTATCATTTATGCACACACAAAACATAGCACAATCTTTTTTTCCACACATCAGTCTATAATATTCCTTGGGTTCCCCGACTTTTTCCCAACACACTCAAGGCGCCTCACTTGGCCTGGCATCGTTTCCTGCTGGTTTGGATGTCAAGTACAGCAGGATTCGGTTTGACAAGATGTATTTGACACCATCCGTTTCAAGATAAAGGTCTTTACTTACCGTGAGTTGCGATGGTATTTTCCCCCTTTGAATTTTTTGCCACATTTCAGTTTCATACAAAAGACATAAAATTTGATATTTTTGTCAATCAACACCAAGTGAGATGCAATCATGTAGTGGAAAGAAATGTAAACAATTTTTTTTTTTAAACCAAATTTTTTAAAAATTTGAAAAGCAGGAGGGGCAAAATGATTCACCTCGTTTTTCTCCGTGCAGACAACTGAGTCCATGGATTTAATCATGTATTAAAACATTCAAACTATATAGGTGCATGGATGGAATCCTCTGTAATAGTTTACAACGATGCTGACGATATAATGTACGGCGTGGCCAACAACGCGACAGAACAACCTTAGCAATGACAATGTAGGACACCACCCGACTGTTACGTGTGCGCTCTGTGCTGGCAGGAATGCATGGACCGAGTAGGTAATCCCATCATGCACAATTTACAGCACAGCATCGGATTGCAAACAATAACACTAGGCTAATAACCGCAACCTATAGATCTTAAATTGCTTTCAATCCCAATGGGTCTCAGCTCCACTCTATGTCAGGCCGCGCAGGCACAACATTATCCGCATCCTAGGCATCTGGCTTGTACCTGTATGGTCCAACATACGCTTGCCAACAATCTCCTGTTCCTCAACATCTTCAAACAACTGGATGCCCTCAGATAAGTTTGAAAAGTTGCTTTCCGAATTTATTTCTGACTGACTTTGTACACTGTTTGTTGCTAACCAAGTCATTAGAGTAAAATATTTTGCAAATATATCTTGAGTCACTGTGAAGCTTTACATCATACGAAACTATAGTTTCGTCGCTGATTGCTTCATTTCGCTGTCTGTTTGCTCATGTTTGCCCCGCCACAGAAATGCACTTGAGACAATGACCAGACTCAATCTGTACAGCCATGAGTCTGGGTGTCCATGCTACAAAATGCCTGCTACAAGGTACAGAAGGCTCACTGAAAGCAACAAAAATCATTTGATGGCAGTGATTGTTGTGCAAAATATCAATCATTTTTAACCAGGCCTGTTTCATTGGTTAGTTTTTCATTCATTTTGTATTTATGTTTTCTATTACTCTCCCCCTTTTTTTCTGTTGTTTTCTTGCATGAACAGAAGGCTACCAACAATTTTTTCCATGTGCGTCGCAGGAAAATAGTGTAAACCAAAATTTTAAGTGTGGAAGATGAAAAATGTAATAGCACTGACACTGAGCTTGCACATCTGAACTCCAGTCATCATATTTTCCCCTATTGCAATAAAAATTCAGTTCTTAATACTGTATGAGACTCACCAGTGGGTAGTAGGGACGAAGTTTCCCCGTGTAGCGATAGCCAGGCCATGGGTCTGTGTTGATGTCTTTTTCCACACAGTTCTTACATTCATTCTGATTCTTGTCCTCCTCTGACCAAACAACACAGATTAAACACATTATAATTACAACAAAATATAAAGCATTTGGCACAGGAAATAGAAGGCCAATCAGTTTTTAAGTTGGCTAAGAATAAGTGCCGCATTCATTTGGAAACAGAAACAACAAGTGACATCACAACTGGCAGATCAAAACAACCTGTTTTGCATTAAGATTGTTAAATGACTCCATCTCTTTTGCTAAAAATCATTACGGGTGCATAGTTAAGCAAACACCTGTTTCTAACATCCGGGCCATCATTTTGCCAAATACATTTGGCCTCATAAATAAAATACAAACCTAATGGTTCTAAACTGTTTTTGCATTCATTCAACGTAATGCATTATCAACATAAGAATGCGTTTTCCATCTTTATGAGTCCTTTCAAGTATGCACTGAGAGCAAGGGCGTGCGTGGTTTGAGGTTATTTTTGGATGGGCCAATCACAATAAACTGCATCGACAGATTTGTGAAGAGTAACAGTGTTGATATTTGAGTTTCATCTGATCCCACTGGAAACATTTGTGGTGATAGTAATAATTGAGCCATGCAGACTGAGTAGACGTCTCAATGGGCGATCGCCGCACCCTCCCCTCCCCCGCCCAAACATTTGTAGCGTCTCCCGGCCGCACCCTCTACTTTGTCTGATTGATTCACACGACCATGTAATGAGTGTCGTGCAGTATTAATTGGGATTCTAAGGATACTTTTTTTAAATTGGTACTTTAATTTTTTATGAGATTATTTTGATGGAGATTGAATTCATAATTATTCATTGATTTCAAAACGTAGTATTTATTCAATTACTCACAACTATCATAGCCTCATTGATTCGTCCTTGCACATTCAACACTATCATTACACACTTTTGTCAAGTACAAAATGACAAAGATCACGAGAAATTCAAGGCTCTTATCTGCACCTTTGATGCCTGGCATCTTTGCACACACTGAAGCTTTGAATAACCCTGGCTAAAATTCAAAGATACAAAGATCTAAAGACATGTTTTGCCGTTCCGGCACACATTTCCACATTACATAGCATGACTCGGATCTCAGGTTAGCTCAGTTCCAAGACCAGAGATGAAAGTGGACTTTTCTGAAAATTCCGGAAAAAATATTAAAAAAAAAACACACACACACACACACACACACACACACACACACACACACACACACACACACACACACACACACGCGCACCCGCACACGCACTTGTGTACCCTTTGTGGCTTCCGTTCGGGCCGAAATTTCGAAATCTCCAAGATATGGTGAGGCCATGAGAATGCGAGGCGAGGGTATTACTGTTGTGGCGACGCCACTCAAGCTAAGCGAGCCTCAGCAGTAGATAGTCCGCTGCTCTCTGCTGTGCGTGCTTCAGCGCCAACATGTACGCAAGCGCGTCTTTTGATTTCAACCAATCAGCGCCGATGCAAATGACATCATACACGACAACAGCTAAGCTAAGCCATTATGTCTTCTGTCGTTATTACACAAACAAAAATGTCTTTACTGTTACTAGTGTTAGTGCCTCAATATGGCTATGCTCGTGAAAGCAATACAACGAACTCAAACGCGTCTTCGTTCAATGTTGTCAACTAATATCCGGATTAATTTTATGCAAATTTTCCTCAATTCTCCGGAGAAATTTTCATAAAAATTTGAAAACCCCGGAATTCCGGGAAAATCCGGAGGACTTTCATCTCTGCAAGACTTAAAATAACAAGATAGAACCAATATGATCAAGAGATAAGGAAGGGTAATGCTTTTGATCACGGAAGAGATGGCGCACTACCAGATATTGTTTTTCTACTTTCTTCCTTTCAAAATTTTGCTGCTGTAAATTGCGAATTTCTCCATTGTGAGACAAATAAAGGTTTGCTTAACTTAGTTTAAAAAAAAAATTCTTGAAACCATGAAAACTTAACTTGAAATTAATTTGGCGTACTGCTGAAAAATGAGGGCGCCTGGCAGCGCAAACTGGTCACTGAGCCCGAGATACTTACTTGCTTTTTTGTGCAGCAACTTGTGAGATGCCCAACTCCCTTTGAAACACTCCTGGAAATGAAAAGAGAAAATAAGAACTCCCAGAAATAAATTACAGGATTCTTGCTTTGGCATACTGGATAAACATGAATAAATAAATCCAGTAGGTGATGACTCTAGGCTTCCATTTTAAGTCTTGGCTTCTTTTGTTCCATGAGAACTAAAACAATAAAACAGGGACAGCTGCCGAACTCTGCAGCTTGTCAAGCCATCTCCTTTAGGACAGACACTCATCTAAATTACTTGCTGGTCATCAGCGGTGCAGTTTGCAAAGATTACACTCTTGGGCATAGTTTCTGTAACAGACCTCAGAACACTGTTTTTATTCAAAGAAGCTGCCACCTGTGCAGTTTTTTCGTCTTGATGTCAAAAACAAAACAAAACATTCAGACGCACAATTCACGGAGAGGGCCAATAACCAGGTAACTGGTTTTGGTTGCACATCCAAAATACAATCACAGCATGATCCTCATAGGGTCTAATACAGGGGTCGGGAACTTATGGCTCGCGAGCCAGGGGGGGCTCTTTTGATGATTGCATCTGGCTCGCAGATAAAACAAAATATTCTCACTTGTTTAATCCATCCATTGACTTTTCACTGGTCATGTCCTGTTCAGGGCTACAGTTGGCTGCAGGGGCAATTTTAATTGGATGATATTGGCCTACGTCGACCGTTGCTGTGGAAACAGGTAAACGCCCCCTTCTGAATCAGCCCGCTCAGTCATTAGCTCAAAGCTAATCTTTTGACGAATAAGATGGCGAAAAGAGAAAAAGATGACGAGTATGGTAGACTTCAGGACGAATGGACCGAAGGATTCGCCTTTGTGGAGAGAACAGGTTCTGTGATGTGTCTAATTTGCAATGACAAAATAACATTGATGAAACGGTCGAATGTAAAGCGGCACTTTGACACGCGCTATCAACAATGGCCGACTGGAGACTTCTGCAAATGACATCACTCGCCGGAGAGTGCCAAACAAAAGCATTTCCGTGGCTATGGGTCCAACTATGAACCCGGGTGGGTTGTGTTTGAAAAACTAACGAAAGTATGCTTGAAATAGTTTTAACTCCAAGTATTACTCAAAAGATGGTTGGACAAGTTTACTTCACAATTTACCTTTAATCGACATTGGATTACAGTGCAAATTGATGAGTTCCTATGACAGGTCACCGCATTTTAAACATCACGGACGAGATGGCGCACTACCAGCCATGAATTGTTGTCGAGTTTGGTAGGTTTGTAGGCGTTCAAGGCAACGTAAACAAAAGCGGGCCAGCTGAGTATCACAGCACTTTCAACATCCTAGATGAGAGAGATGACCAGCAGGACCTCTGTGGATTGTTGTCAGGTCTGGTCGGCAATGGAGGCAACGTAAAGAAAAGAGGGGCAACTGAGCTGAGGTAAATGTTAACAGTGAAAAGAAGTGGTTCAGAAGATGGATGGATAGATGGATGACATGGCACTGTGTTCTAGTGTACTTGTTGGAATACAGTAAATATTCCCACCTACGAACTTCTGTCAAGCAAAATTTCCTGACCCGGAATGAAAAACCCATGAACTAAAATTTTGACTACGATATTACATGAACTCAAGCAAGTCCCGCTCGATACTACAGAATAACTGTGTCCGCGCTGCTATTTACTTTCATTGGATCCAAAACAGTGACCTGTAAGTGACTCAATTCGCAGGAGTTCTACTTGAATCGCCAACGATTTTTTTCCCCAGTCATTTACATTTACATCCTGTAAATCGTAGCATCCAAACAAAGAGGAACAATAATGACCGTGGAAGAGAGAGTGCAATGCATCCGATTACCTGTTCAGAGTAAATTGCTTGTGGCTCGACGGACAGTCAAGTAAACGAACGTTTCCTGGAATGCTTTACCTGTTATCGTGCTAAAAACCATACGCTAACTGGACAGTTAATTAGAGAGAAGGTGAGTTCCATAGCTCTAACTATGGGTATCGAGGACTTCGAAGCGTCCTGTGGCTGGCTTCAAAAGTTCGTTGCATAACATCAGCTTAGCAATGCTGTCTTGTCTGGTGATCGAGGTGACGTAAAGTTAGAGGCAGTGAGTGAGTGGAAAGAAGAGCTACCAGGTCTACTGGTTACTAAACTCATTGTGTCGCAAATAGTCCTCATTTTGTGACTAGACTTCTTATACTGTATTTTGTTCATATACCTGAACTGTATGATGCTTTTTGTGTTATAAACAGTTGTTGGACCATATATTTTTGCATTTTATTGCTTGTTTTGTTACACATATATTTTGTTAACATACTTGCATGTTCATAAAGCACATGTATGTTAACTGTTTTGTTAAGCGCTTTGTTACAGCTGCTGCTGTTGTGAAAGCACTATATAAATCAAGATGCATTGTATTGTATGTACCATCATCGTTTCGCACATCAGGAAATTCTGTTATAAGGAAAGATTGGACAACGCAAACATGATTCCGTACTAGAGAAAACTTACTGTATAGCGAAAGAAAAAGAGAGAGAGAGACACACACACAGACACACACACACACACACACACACACACACACACACAGACTGTCTAATAACGTTAGTTACAGTATTACAGCATTTTTTAAAATGTAAGTTGTGTATAGATTGTATGTATATAATCGGGGCAAATTGAATCGTTTATGTCATAATCACACTCATAACGATGAATTACCTAGAACGTGTAAGTTGTTGGTAATAGCTTTGCCCACAATGTTACGAAGTGCCAAGATGAGGGGCAATAGTGTGGTAGAGAGAACAGTCGCGCTTCGTCAACTTCGCTAGCAGTTTATGAAACAGCCATGCAAATCAAAAGCGTTTTTCGGTACAGGCTCCCAACAAATATTTGAATGCATAGAATTCTAGAGTGTTTTACCCAATCGTGATGTTTGAAATCACCGATATCAGCCAACCGGTCTTGAGTTAGCAAGGTAGTTAGGGCAGTCTTCAAGCAAATGTGACAGAATTAACTGAGCTCACAACGGAGTGTTAGCAATCATAAACAATGTTTATATCACGAGGCCATTCTCAAACGTCTGACAAAATAGTTGTGGGATTTTAGAGAAAGCACACTTTCGTCGCTTTCCATGTAGCATGACAGCTACATAGCAGCCTCGTGATGATACAGGGCCCGTTGGTGAGCTACAACAGCGGCCTTTTTGAACTTGTCGAGTCGACGGCGACGCTTTACCTGGGAACAGAAATACGAGCCTTGAATGCCAAGCTTGATACATGTGGGACATTGGAGTTTGGCGTCTTTGCTGCAGCATTCCGTCTCGCACTCCCTTCTCTCCTCCGTGCTCGCCATGCTTTCGCCTGGTTGAGGGGTGGAGTCCCGGCACCGCGCCGGGGAAGGGAGGAAGCAACCCGAAGCACCCAGCCAGCCGGACGCATGCGGCGCACCGCGCATGTCCGCAGCGACGCTGCTTGGTGTGCTCCAATCAACAGAACGTTTCCTAACACAGATTTCTAAAATGGCGACTGCCGAACCGGTGAGCACTTTCTCGAAAAACTTTAAATGCCTTATAGTGGTACCGCTTTAATGAAAACCGTGCCAGTTGTACGTCCGAACAGTTGTCAAGAAATGCATACGGGCTGGCCAAGTTGTTTTGGCTTCAAGTTTAAGCGAGCTTTAACTACGACCTGTGCTTAACGTCAAAGCAGTATGGACACCTCGCAACTTTAAGCTGACGTCGAGGACTCGCTGTCCACTTTGCCGAAAACTAGTCAGTCGGCGTGACTTAACTTTGTTGTTTGGAAGAAAATACCCAAATGACAAACAAAAATGTAACTATAAACACACACTTTTTTAACTCGGCGTGTTGAATATTTTACATTGAACCCGATTGTTGCTCAGTGGTAGAATTAGTTACCTCTTCACTTTTACGACCTCTCCGACAATTTCTGTCACTGACTCGCGTTATCTCAATATATTTAAAGAGCCGATTTGAAGACATATGGACTTGAATTGTTTACGTTAATAATTCAGTCAGTACAATAGCACTTCGTATGAACGTCATATTTAATCCCAAAAGTTGTCAGGACGAAATTATTAATTTGGACAGATCAAATGTATGCCTTTCAGATGCAGAGTTACATGTTGTTTCCCACATAGCATAATTCTTAATTTTCAATTATTTTGGAAAAGGAGAAAAAATAAATTAGAACACTCACTGGTATTTTTATTGGGTATTTTCCTTTGAACATTTTTTTTACAATATCAATAAAAATACCAATCTGTGTGTTTTCTTGTTTTCTGAAAATATTAAAAATGGCTTAGTTGATTATGCTGTGTGGCCGACGATCTAGTCTCTGATCACATGGATTTTATAACTGTAATTTACATTGAAATACATTGAACTTAAAATGTACTTTTCGGTCTGGCCTCCTGGTTTTCTGCATTAACATAATTTTATTCATGACAAAGATGGCATGCTACTCCTCTCAAATTACAACCTTAAACAAATGTGAAGCACCAATTTTATCATAATGTACCCGATAAACTGCCAAGTAAAATTCCCGCCCCCCCCCCTTTTTAATTTTTTTTTTTTTTAAAAGGAAACCAACCCAAATCCATCCCTCCCAGAAGAGGATGGAGCTGATGAGGCAAGAGAGACGACTGCTCAGGAAATTGTGAGCCCAGAAGCCTACATCAAACACCCGCTACAAAACAGGCAAGACTCTGGCACAGTTGAAAATGTATCCGTGACAGTCAAACATGTTAAAAATAGAGAGAAACATTACAAAAAATGGAAAAAAGTGAGTCAAACACACACACATACACATAAAAAAAAAACCATTAAATTAAAGACAGAAATAAAGTAGGAAATTGAGACAATGGCGAGGTAATGAAAGCAGAGCAAAACCGGTGCATTTTGAAGAGTTATTTAAATGATGGTCGGTCACCGCAGTCACATATGTATTGTGGAAGAGAGTTCCAGGTTTGTGGGGGTCGGGGGTGGGGTGGGATTTTGGAGGGATTTATGGGTGAGAAATTGGAGTTTGAATTGATGACGTGAGGGAATTGGGGAGCCAAAATCTCTGTTCCCTTATCATGGGTGGATTCGAAAATACCCTCCAAGTGCGCTGCTTCACCTAAACCATTCAGAAACTCAGAATGTTGTTAAAATGTGTCGTTCGGTTATTTAGAGTGTCCCAAAAAATGGAACCCAATATAGGCAATACAAGAAACGTAAACGTAATTATTTTCTGCATTCAGAAAATAATTGAGAGCGGCACACGCTCTGCACCCCGGCAGCAGGCGAGGATGAGGAAATTTACACTAATAACTATGTTCATGTATTTTTTCTTTAAAATTAAAATGGCTGACATTAACTAGAATCCCCTGTCGCATTATAGTCACAGGTACAATCCTAGTGGATCAATGCACCTTGTAAATAGTTGTCGTCTTCTTTTAAAGAAGACAAAGAAGAAGCACTTCTGCCAGAAGTAAAGAAGTGCTCATTTACAAGGTGGATTAATCCATCAGGATTGTGCTTTTTGCTACAATGCGACATGGGATTCTGGTTAAGGTAGGCCATCCAGGTGCATCGTGACTCTTCTCACATTTAAGTTGAATTTAAATTTAATTTTTTTTATTCTTATCCCAACAGATGGTCTCTATGGTTCTTCAAGAATGACAAGAGCAAAACATGGCAGGCCAATCTACGACTCATCTCAAAATTTGACACAGTTGAAGATTTTTGGGCGTAAGTTGCAATAAATCTCTTCAGTATAAGGGAGTAGATGCAGAACTGCCAACTGAATCACTGAATGCTACTCCGTTGCGTCCATAACATTGAATGTTACTGACATATAACAAAAGAAGTAAAAAAAATCATCAGTCACATTGCTCAAACAGGTTCAAAAAGAACAAAAATAGTTAGCGCAAATGCGGCGCTCTTTAGCGGGTGGCTCCGGTGACATAATGCCTCACTGCTTACTCATGGGCAGTGGAAGCTCACGGATGAGTCCAATGTTAGCCGATAGCCAACATCTTGAGGCTAACCTTGGTTGCTGTTATTCATATCAGAGCTCAACACTGCGACCAATATGGCCACAAACGCGGGCAACTTGCAGGTTTTTTTTTCTGCATCAGGCAACAGTTTATTTGATGTGCACCATTCAAAAAGACATGCCAAGGCAGCTGCAACATCAACTACGCTGTCATTGTGTGATACGGCACAAGTCTCCAGTGTTGCTCACGAGACACAAGGTGCATTCAGGTGCAGTGTGACATCAGACAGAAAAAAGTCCCATCAATCCATTGAACGTTAACAACTGCAAATATCTCAACAATGACTATCTATCAATCTATAAAAGCTGACATATGTAAAGAATTATGTGGGGGGGGGTAAAATTTTAATTAATTTTAATTACAATTAATGGTGCATCTCGTCTCTTGTGTTAACAATAACTAATCAAATAACTAGGCTCCCTTTCTCCATTTAAGAGGTTATATCAACCTTAATGAATCAAAATAGAGAATAAACCTGCCATAGTTTTTCATTCATTCATTTTCCGAACCGCTTTATCCTCACTAGGGTTGCAGGGGGTGCTGGAGCCTATCCCAGCTGTCTGCGGGCGGTAGGCGGGGGGACACCCTGAATCGGTTGCCAGCCAATCGCAGGGCACACAGAGACGAACAACCATCCACGCCCACACTAACACCTAGGGACAATTTCAAGTGTTCAATCAGCCTGCCATGCATGTTTTTGGAATGTGGGAGGAAACCGGAGTACCCGGAGAAAACCCACACAGGCCCGGGGAGAACATGCAAACTCCACACAGGGAGGCCGGAGCTGGAATTGAACCCGGTACCTCTGCACTGTGAAGTCGATGTGCTAACCACTGGACTACCAGTCCTCTGCCATCGTTTAATTGAATTTTTATAACATTTGCCACAAAAAATGGGGCTTTAAATAAGTCCTGCATGTTTCCAGCTCTCCCGGCTGCAACACACCTGATTCAGATGATCAGCTCCTCAGCCAGCTGTGAAGCAGCATTAGAACGATCCGGATTATTTGAATCAGGTGTGTTGCTCCTGTGAGAACTGGAAAACAGGCAGGACAGCAGCCCTTGAGGACCGAGCTTGGACACCACTGAGTTAGTCCCTTTTAAACAGGCAGTAAACTTGAAATATCAGGAACAAAACACTGAACAAGAGTAATATTTAGAGCCATACTGTAGTATGTAGCAGTTTTATTTTCATTAGCCATCTCAGTTTGAGAATAAATTTCCACATACCCTCTGCAATGTGGTCACACACAGCTAGTTGGTAAACCCCGTTTTGGAAAACTTAATCCAAAGCACTGTTGAGGGGCCAGACTTGATTGATGATGATGCTAGGCAGCTCTGTGAAAATAATTGACATTGTTACAGTATTATATCATCTTGAGTCACTGTCAATCTTTACGTCATATGATACTACGGTATGCAAATTGAGACAACTACAGTGATCCCTCACTTATTGTGGTTGATGGGGACCGGGACCGTGCCGTGATAAGTGAAAAACTGTGAATGAGGGTTGCCCCCCGCCCCAAGGAATTTTTGTGTAAGGGTATGTCGTTAGCAGCATTTAAAATATGTAAACAGTGATTATACTTTTCATATTTGAGACAAAGACTACAGCAGTACACATATTTACTTAAATCTTTAATTATAAAACCTTCTACAGTAATTAATTAGCATTGCCTTCTGAGTGAGGCGAAGAGACTTGTGTTGGTGGAGGCGGCTCTCACTTTATGCGCTGACGGTGTAGCCGCTGTTAGCCTCCATCTAGCTCCTGGCCAGCTTCTTTTTTTTTCGCGCGCAGCCGATGTGTTTATGATAAGACAATTAATCAGTATTGATGAGGAGGAGGCAAAGAGACACTGCTGCTTTTTATGTACAAGCCCATTCACCCTCTCTCCCTCTCTCTCTCTCTCTCTCTCTCTCTCTCTCTCTCTCTCTCTCTCTCGCACGCGTGCGCTCTCTCCCCCCCTGCCGTGCACGTAGCAAGCACAACAGAAGAAAGTATGCCAGAGAGAGGCAGGCAAACAAGAGTTAAGAGCGTGATGAGACACACTAATCAGAGTCAACACGGTGCTGAGACCCAAGTGAGGAAGGTGCTGGACAGGGTTGCGAAGATGTGCAGGCAATCAGCTCACGGGATAAATCCACTCATTCGTGCTGTCATTGGTCGACGTCGCACCGGGAACCAATCATGCGTACAGGCATCTACAAAACCTCTGAGTCATTGAGCATTTTTTTTCTAAATACAGTACTTTGGGGGAAAAAAAGCGATGTACTGAACCCGCGATAAATGAAGCGCGATATAGCGAGGGATCACTGTATGCATCAGCAAATATGGTCATGCTGTACCTCTCAAAAAATGGGTGCGACCAACTGAAAAAGTTGGTAGCACATGTGCTACCCGTGCAACAGTTGGTGTCGAGCTCTGCATATCAGCAGCAAGGAACAAGGGCAGTGGCACAAAGTGAAGCTTCATCACCGGGTCATTATGTCGCATTATGCGCAGATAACGGTGTGCTAACCACAACTTTATTCATCGTAGAACAATAAACGCCACACTGCACTGTGTTATTACTGTCGTAAAACTTGTTGGAATATGCCAAACAACCATGGCTTGTTGAAGCTTAGCTAATAGTGAGTGATCTTTTTTAATCATTCTGGCCAGTCAGCTGGGATAGGCTCCAGCACACCCGCGACCCAGGTGAGGATAAAACGGTTCAGATAATAGATGGGTGGATGCTTTTTATTTTGGTCCTTGAAAATGTCTTCATGTCAGTGGCACTAAAATGTTTTGTGACTGCTGCCTTGATTTAAAATGTGCATTGTTGGAATGTCACTGCTAAGTAAATACTTCAACAATCTTGATTTATTCTTTGCAGCAGAAATATTTGTGTAATTACTTTGCGTTGCTTTTAGTGATGTTAGTACGCAGTCATAGCCATTAATGCGATTTAACTAATAATCTTACGCGACAGTGATATGAACAAATCAAGATATATCCCCCGCTGTAAAGTTCTAGAAAAAAAAATAGAAAATTGGACAATTCGGAAGTTGGAAGTGATTTTTTTTTTTTTTTTTTTTTTTTTTTTACCCCAATTCTAACTCAAGTCAGTTTGATTAACTACTGTTCCATGTCTTCCCAGTCTGTACAACCATATCCAGTTGTCAAGCAATCTCATGTCAGGCTGTGATTACTCCCTTTTTAAGGTTTGTCTGATCTATTCATTTATAGTATGTATGTCTTGAATGACGTAATGTGATGTATGTTAATGCTTTTAAGTTTCCACCGAATTTACATACAAATGAAAGAATCAAATGGGAATCATTATCTTGATAATGTCTCCAGCCAAGTGTGCTAAACCACTTATTTTAAACATAGGTGTCAAACTCAAGGCCCGGGGCCCAGATCTGGCCCACCACAGCATTTTATGTGGCCCGCGAAACCAAATCAAACATGTCAACTTCCATGATCCTTTCTAAAATGTCTACCAACATTTTAAATTCTCATATGAAATAAATAACAGATATATTCTAAGCATTATCTTGTTACCAAACCCCTCATGATAGTAACTTAAACAATAGTTGAATCAACAGTTATTCTTGACTTCTATAGATGGTTTCAGTCATAACAGCCCTCCAAGTGAAACGGTAACTAAAATGTGTCCCCGGCTATAAATGAGTTTGACAGCCCTGATTTTAAACATTTCAAGGTTTTTTGAAACTACTAATTAATTAATATCTTATTGTTGAGTATAAGTAAAGACATTGTAACTTAAAAATTGGCTTTTTAGCCTACAAATCTTTATACTCAACTCAACTTTATTTATAGAGCTCTTTAAACCAACAATAATAATAATCAGATAGACAAAACTCTCTGAATGACATGCCACATTCCATGCTACCAGTGAACATTCTTTTGATGGTGTGTGTGTTGTTGACTATAGAGTAATGTACAATGTGACACTATGAGTATAAGCAATGTGAAAACGGTTGCTGCAGGATGGTATTGAGCCCATGTGGGAGGACGAGAGGAACAAGCGTGGAGGACGCTGGCTGATCCCACTCAACAAGCAGCAGAGAAAATTAGACCTGGACCGCTTCTGGTTAGAAACTGTAAGTTTTCGCTTTTGACGGATAACAGATAGATGGACTGGTCTTCACCACATCTAGCTTTGATGTTTAAATGACACTCTCAGTCATTTTGAGAGTAAGCAGCAATGACTAGGATACAGTGTGTCAGATTGTACAAAAAAAAAAGTCTTCCACGAATCTTTGTAGAGAGGTGGCCTATATATAGGTTGTGGAAGGAGCCATAATATTTTAGTGAGCAACTTCATAGTAAGGCTATGTTACACAATGTTTCCGTCAGCTTAGCCAGCCTTGGCCTCTTAACTCATTCAATTGCCATGACGTATGAATACGTCTTTGACAACCTGCTACAGCCACCTACCCATGACGTATTTTTCCACGTCATTTCATTTACTTTGCGCCATAGTGTGCAAAAAGGTCTGACGCAGCCTCTGACCAAGGGTCAGGCTTGTCTGCCTTGTAAATCATTTAAAATCTAACCCAACAGGTCGCAGCAGGTGTCAGGGAACAGCCAGTATCATGCTGCAGAACAAGTAGAAGTAGAGGGGGAGGGATGCATAGGGTGGAGCTGTGGAGGAACGTAGAGTCGGGTGGAGTAGCGTGTAGTTAGTAGAGGGTGCATTCGAACCAGTAGCGATGAAGAAATCTAAACAATTAACCTGTGACGATTGCTTTTGGGGAAGGAAATCTTCCACCATGACGAGGGAGAGGACTTTCTGAAAACAGCAGGACACTGTCGTCCGTGCAAAAGTAAGAAGCACCCATCAAAAGAGGCACCCATCAAAGAGATTGTTTTACTTCTTTTCATGGTTCATTACATCAGTTTAACAGAGTGCAGATGAATATCATTGCTATAAAAGTCTTCTCCATTTTTTCCCCCCAAAAAATGGAAATCTGATGAAATTTAGCTATTTTCGAATGCTGTTTTTCCCTTGGTATTGTTTCCTTTTTTGTCTTCTTATATAAACTTATATAAAATAACGGCCGCTTGTTGTAAACATTGTTGTCACAGTCAAATATTTGGCATCTTCAGTCACTGTCAATTTTTACATCAAACAAAATTTCTTGTATATTTAAACATAAGTCATGCTTTATTTTTAAAACATCACCAATGCTGAGACTTCTGGTTTGGGCAGCCATGGAGTAATAAGCACGTTTGCAGAGCTCCTTGTTCATTTACGGCAACGTCGGACTTTATGCATTAGTATTTTGACAAGTTGGCTCTGAGTTAAGAGGCGTTGACGAAATGCCTAAATCGAACAAAAAGTTGGTTTCACGGCTTGAAACAACCCACTCAGACGGAGACGATTTCGCCCAAATGACCCAGACGGCCGCCATGAAGCCGGGGAGCTACAGGCTAATGGAGGTACAGACGCTCCCCAGCTAACGAACGAGATACGTTCCGAAGGATCGTTCGTTAGCTGAATTCGTTCGTAAGTTGCTTCAGTGCTATATTTTGTATGGAATGTATGTTTAAGGCTTATATAAGTATGTTTAAGGTTTATATAAGTATAATAAAATGAAGTTTAACTTACTTTTGGAAGATTTACTCGAAGGCTTAAGGAGATGATGGACGATTGCACAGTTTTCTTCTTTTTCTCATCATAAATGATGCAGTAGCACTGTATGGCATCATTCATTTGATTTGCAACCTTTGTGCAACGTTCAATATTTGGGTCTTGCTGCTCGAAGAGTGCGATGGCTTTATCTATGAGCGAAAACCCCTTGGCCAAGAGTTCCGTCTCAAACTTCTTCATGGGGACAGGGGTTTCCTCCTCCTCCTCCTCTCACAGCGCCTCACGTCGGTATTAGCGGCGGAAAGAAGTACTACAGTACTCGGAAAAAGGCGCGCAATACAAAATCTAACTTACAGCATCTCTGTCCGAGAACATTTTTCGACATACCTGTACCCGCAAAAATGTTCGTATGTACCATTGTTCGTAACATGAATGTTCGTAAATCGGGGAGCGCCTGTACAACTAACCTACAAATGATGAGACAAGAATTAAGAGAATTCCCACGTGAAAGCGCTGGTGAAGATTGCACGACTGTCTTGTGTCCTATGTGTTGTGTTGTGTTATTTTTGTTATTTTGACTTCAAAATGGCGCCGCGAGAGTGGCTGCCTTTCCAGCAGCTCCTATATTTTGTTGTTCTACTTCTTCCTTTCATAACTTTGCTGCTGTGAATTGGGAATTTCTCCATTGCGAGACTAATAAAGGTTTTCTTATCTTATCTTATCTTAACACTCACCGCAACCAAGAACGAAATTAAGATGACTAATATGGATACAGTTGTGTATGAGTGGGCATGTGAGTATGTGTATGAATGCGTTTGTGTGTGTGTGTGTGTGTGTGTGTGTGTGTGTGTGTGTGTGTGTGTGTGTGTGTGTGTGTGCGCGCGCGCGTGCGCGCGCGCGTGTGCGTGTGTACAAAAATGTTAATGGGAAGGTGTCCCCAATTATGGTGTGTTGATGCAGGTAAGGCAGTTTTGACAGGGAAAATTATTGCAAAATTGGCTTCACAAAAGAAGCTCGGATGGGAAAAAACTAGAAAAAGTATGACATCAGTTAACAAGCATAAAAAACAAAAAAAAATGCTCAATCGGATGCTTTTCAAGACAGAGTTATCATGAGGTGGGGCTGCAAAGCAACAAGAAAATTGGCACATAAATTAAGGAAGCAACAAGCAGAGGGGGTGTTGCATAAAATTAAGGACTCGATTACCAAACAAATGAAACATGACTTCAAGGATATTCGAAGATATTTTGTAAGATATTAGATGGACCTTTATTCTCAAGGTGTCCCTGAAGGCGGGGGAACACCTGACGCCATGTTGGCATCACTCAATCCTCCCAATGGTCTCAGGAGACCAGAATGAAGTTTTAATGGCTGAGGCGACGATGGTTAAATTACAGAAGGCAATCTCTTGACTAAAGCCGAACAAATGCCCAGGCACAGATGGTTTCCCATTAGAGTGGTATAAGACTTATAGTGACATTTTATCTCCACCATTATTGAGAACTTTAATTGGGTCCAAGTGAATGGAGTGATCCCCTCTCCTGGTGAGAGGCGATCATGCCTTTGATACCGAAAGAGGGGAAAGATGAATCTGATTGTGCTAATTTCCACCCAATTAGTATTTTGAACCAAGATTCTAAACGTTTTACATCAATTTTAGCAAGGCCGTCTAAAATCAATACTTCCAGATATTATACACTAAGACCAGGCTGGTTTTATTGGGCAAAGACAGAATTTAACATAACATAATCATATAAAGGCACATTTTAGAAGCTGTTTTACAGGGTTTGGATGCAGAAGAGCCCTCTTTGTCAATTGGTCCTTTTTATACAAGGTGCTCCGGAGAATTGAATTTTGTGAGAACTCCACAGGTGCTGCGTGATAAACCAGTAGCCAAAGTAAGGCTAAATGGAGGATTAATGGATTCTTTTGGTTTAGAAAGGGGACGTCGACAGGGTTGCCCTATTTCCCCACTCTTATTTGCCATCTTTATGGAGCTCCTTAGTCATTTGATAAGGCAGAGTGACAAGATAGTAGCGATCATGAGTTAAGTTATAAGTTTGCCCTATTTGCGGACGATATATTAATATATCTGAGAAAACCATCTACTTCTTTCCCGGAATTGCTTTCGACCCTGAGGATATATGGAGGATTTTTGGAGTAATACCCATAAATCCCAGATATTGTCCTATAAGTACCCTCCCAGCCAGTTGATGAGAGAAGAATTCAATGTGAACTGGGATTTGGAGTCAATTAGATACTCAGACATGAATATCTCCTTGCCCATATTAATGCTGATCTGAATAGATTTTGTTCCCTTTTAAGGATTATTACAGAGAGTGGAAGCAATTAAAATCGATGTGTTGTCATACCCAAGGATATATTTCAAAACTTTGACAAAATAATATCCCGATTCATTTGGCAGGGGAAGAGGCCAAGAATTTGATTTAAGACTTTTCAGCTTGTGAAAAACAAGGGCGGCTCGTCTCTTGCGAATGTGATGAACTACTATAGGGCAACTCGGGTCAAGATTTTGGTGAATATCTGCAATCCATCCTATAGTGCGAGGTGGAAAGATCTTGTGATACAAGCGATCATAGGGGATGCTGGGTTGGTCGACTGTCTATAAAGGTGTTAATTAAGATGTGGCATGCAATAGTAAACCAAGGCAAAATTCATAGACCATATTTGCTCTTCAGATGAATCGAGTTTGACTCCATTTTTTACAGAACAGAATGGATGCAAGATTTAAAAACTGGGTTGGAAAAGGGTTAACGACATACAGTGACGTTTTTGAGGGAAGCGTGTTTCGACAATTCCAAGACCTTAGAAATGATTTTGGATTGAGTACCATATTTTCCACACTATAGGGCGCACCAAAAAATCTTCCATTTTCTTAAAAGCTCACCGAGCACCTTAAAATCCGTTGCGCCTTGTGTATGGTCATTACGGTAATATGTCGACCCCTAGATGGCTCCTTGCTGGAGACATGCTTACAATGTTATAACTTGCTGTTGGTTCAGTGAACTGTGTCACTGCTTATTTAAAAACATTTTTGTTGCAGCTCCGAAAAAAGGAGAGCTGTGGTGTTGTTTTTTTAAAACGCACACTTTATTAATGGTTTTCACAGTCTCAACAAATACAGGTACGTTTTTGTCTGTCTCCGTGCCTTCTCTTCTTCCGTTCGACTCGAGAGGCGTTCATGACCGCCTCGGAAAAACGTAAATTAACTATTCGTTCAATGAAACTACGAAAATTGAAAATAATGCATCAAAACAGAAAATCAAGCGAGGAAATCACAAAATAAATTCTATAGCCCCACTGCAGAATTTATTTTGTGATTTCCTCGTTTGTGAATACAGTACACAACAAAGGAATAAATAAACACTTCTGAGACAGTCCAGTCTCTTCCAATTTAACTCAACTGTATTTATAGAGCACTTTCAAACAGCCATTGCTGCATACAAAGTGCTGTACATGGAGCAACTAACATATATACAACAATAAAGCAATAATCAGTAACAAAGATGGTAGTAGACACCAAACAGTAAAACTAGATCAAATTTACTGACATCTGATCGTTCTGTTGCAGCTACGGGGCTATAGAATTTATTTTGTGATTTTCTGTTTTGATGCATTACTGTATTTTCAATTTTCATAGTTTCAGTGAAGTAATCGTTAATTTACGTTTTTTTGGAGGCGGTCATGAACGCCTCTCGAGTCAGGCGGAAGAAGATAAGGCACGGAGACGGTCACAGACGTACCTGTAGCTCCATCTAGTGGATGCATTGTATATTGCACCTTATAATCCAGTGCGCCTTTTAGTGCGGAAAATACGGGAATCAAGATTTTTAGCGGTTTCTGCAACTTCCAGTTCCAGCTCCAATGACTTGACAAGGCAGGAGCACAGCATGCTGTAGGTGCTGTGGTAACAGCAAAGCCTCGCATTTTCATGTCTTTTGGGAATGCCCGGTTATTTCCAAATATTGGAAAAAGACGAGGGTGACTTAGGTTAGAATCATGGGAATAGTGGTTACCCTGACTTTTGAAGCCCCACACCTGGAATTGAAACCTGATTCGATTTATGTTGTGCACCAGGCAGGGTGCCACAACAAATGGGGACAAAAGAAGGGGCGAGCATTTATGCAGCCTACCAACAGAACCGAGGTGTAGTAGCCCCGTCGTTCGGGGAGACGGTTCTTCAGGCTTGCGGTTCGCTCTTTACTGCCCGGGAAGGTGTGAGCGAGCATATCAGTGCCACACGTGTCCCAAACTGTTATTGCCGCTCGGCCGTATCTGAGATGCCCGGCGATTGGAGCCTTCCGCCTTATCGGTATCCCCTCCTCGCTCGGCCGTGGACGCGGGATGCCCCGCGAGCACCTCCGCCTGCCCACTCCGGCAGCAGCCGCCATGGGTGAGCATGTGCGTGGCCGCCACCACCAAGCGGCCTAACGCTGGACTCATTCATTCTTTTTAAGAACAAAAATGACAAATACACCAGCACATCAGTTTGTCCCCC